ACTAAAATGTCACATTGGCACATGATTATAATCTGAACTCAAATGAATATTGAAATGATATTTGATTAAGAAATAAAAATTGATTTAATAATAACTAAAATATAATGAAATATGACAGTAGTTTAGTGAAGTTATTTATTTGAACACATAAATATCGGTACAAAGGAGCACTGAATCCATATGCGCACCACACAAGTCACTTGATTTGTATGTGGACTTTGATACTTCCCGGTTGCCCAAACCGAACCAGATAGTTTCCTTAGGCGGACACACCCGATGTCTTCGATTTAAAGGTCTAATCCACAAGGCAGTGGATCAACGTCAGGAAATGCAATCCCATGGTAGCCGGTGACCAATAATTGATTCATACGCCATTTTTTCCCTCAGGATCCTGAAGCCTATGTGTACCATTGGTTTGTAGTCAGGATTTTCCAACTCATTTGGGTGGATCCTCCATATCCACCTAGCCGGTTACAGAGACGGACATTCGCTTTCCATCCTCTCAATTTCGTAAACAACACCCCCACCACGAGAAAGCTGCGAGTAGAACTTCCCGAAAACTTATAAATTGGATGTATTGATCAGTGTAGAAGTTGTCAAGAAGTTTATATAAAATTTCAATATACAAGTGATAGAGTGAGTGATCAATTGACAAGTATTGACAATTCATAATTGACTAGATGAAAGTTTTGAAGAGTTTGCATAAGTTTCGAGAATTAAACAAGCCTACTAGTGTGAGACGGCCATTCAGTGCTTCCAAAATTTTCAATGATGGTCTAGCTTAGGTCGACTCATGAATCCAACTGTTAAAATTAAGCAAATTTTAAACAGATGAATGAAATAATCGTGATAATGATGATTGCATAACAAAATAACCACTAATAAACTTTTTTGATTAAGTTCATGAGTCAATCGAAACCGGACCACCATGGAAAACCTGGAAGCACTGGACGGCCGTTTCGTCTTGTCGTGGGACTCATCAGCAGTGCGATCCCGCTCGTGAGATTCGAACTCAGGGCCTTCAGGCTCATGCGCGAACGCTTAAACTCTAGACCACTGAGCCAACCGGCATCTAACGGTGTTAATGTCTAACCTCAACCAATCCGCGATATTGCGCAACTATCTTCCATTGTACTGAGGTAGATACCCGTCTTTGTCCGACACAGATTAGATCCACTGGTCACGGCTTCTCACTAGAATTCCGAGAATTCCCACATGAAGCTAGTCACTTGTGAACACATTGTACTTAATAAAACAACGACTATAATAATAGTAATTTATTTTAACTATTCTGTTTTTAACAGCTATCAGTTGGACAATTATCTTCAGCTTTCCACTTTTCCACCTCTTTTCAGTATCAGATTTTAAATTTATGACAATCATCATGATTGTATAGCTTAAGTAAATGAAATTGTCGAAAAGAAAATTTTCTTCGCAGAACTGCTTTTTTCCTTCTTTAATTATTGGTGACTTGAATTACAGTTATGATCCAAATAGATTTCTTTTCGTCTATTTAGTTCAACTCACTTTCATTAAGAATGTAATACAAAACCATAGTACGATCGCCACTTGCTTCTACTCTGAACGTCTCAAGTCACTGAGCTTTGAGGTTTTCAGTACTTTAAACAAGGAGTTCTGATGTACTGACAGATCCCTTATTCCTATACAGCTACCTTTCAGACCATGGTGACATTTCACAGGTTAAACACTTCTCCGCTTTTTCCGCCTCGTACCAGGGTCAGCATTTAGTGAACTTTTTGAAAACCACAAGGATGGAATCCTTGGAAGATGCTCACGCTACTGGAGTCGATGATATAGGGTAGTGATACCGATTGAATGATCATCATTAAACTTCGATATTTCTAACATGGTAATGGCATTGGATGTCAGTAATCTTTTGGAGACAGCGATGACTAGATACAAAGCGTTGTAAAACATTCTCCGCTCAAATGGGTCAGTTTTCACAAACATACAACAAACTTGCTTTCACTTACGCGTTGTAAGCTTGTACTTTTACAGTCAGACTGACATCGCTACATTGTTGAAGATGGTATGACTCCATCTAACTTTTACTATATCTTTGATTAGTCTCATTATGCCAATGTGGTATGGCTTCTTGAGTCAACGCACAGGCTCTACGTTGATGATGAGTGACTAACAAAATAAGGCAGAAGTACAGTAAACTTGAAGCATACAAGGTGAAATACAAAAACTTTACATTACCTCACCATATGCATTATGCGACGAAAACACTGTTGAGAAAATATATTGTCGATATTTAAAATGTGTGGTCACTTAACTGATTATATTGTTGTGGTTATTTGTTGTTCATTCTCTCTCTCCCTATTTTTAGGCTTTAAAACATGATCTTATCGGTTTTATATTACGTATGCTCCAAAATGGTTTCCCATCTTCAGTACGAGAACCCGGACAAACTCGAGCCTATCTCATAAAGGCATTAAAAGCTATGCAATACAGTGCTGTATATGGTGCTAAGGTAATTGTGATAATGTACACATTTTAACAAACTGTATATATACCACTCTGTCGAATAAATGCACGAATCATGGTTAAGATAAAAGGGCTTCATTTGACAAAATTAAGAGTATATCTTTCAATCTTATCCACTTCATATTACTGGCAATTTATGCAGAATTCTGTTTTACTATCTCCGTCTACTGAATTCTCGGGCATTGATCTCCTTCCAAGAGATCCAATTATCGACTTAGAATACGCAGATGATATAGTTCTGTTCGTTGAAGACGCTGATAAAATGCAGAGTCTCTTGGTAGCACCAAACAGCAATGCCAGGATGTTTGGGATGCGTTTCTATTCCTCTAGATGCAAGTTGTTGCTTCAGGACTGGCCTTCATCAACACCTGAATTAAGGATAGGGAATGAAGTAGTCGAACGCGTTGGCAACTTCACGTATCTTGGAAGTCTGATCGGCCCAAATGGGTTGGTGTCTGAAGAATTTCCTGCACGAATCCAGAAAGTTCGTTTGGCTTTTGCCATCTTACGTCACCTATGACAGTATAAAAACGAGAGGTCTTTTACGTCTTTTTTCATCAGTAACAAAGTTCAACGCTCTCGTTTCTTTTCTTTTATATATTACAACCACTAAATTAACTACTTCCATGAATCCGGTGTTCATCTTGTGCTAATGAAGTATGGCAACTTGAACCGATGCATATATGTTCCTGGTCCTACGTTGTAGCTGACTGACTGTTTCCACTGTACAATTGATCACCGATAGTTACCAGAAGTTCGACTTTTGAGATGTCACATTTCTCGACCCTTAATATTTTGTTAGAATGATGTACACAGGAAATTTTCCCCGAATTCATTACACTAGCAATCATTCGGACTGTAGGAAAACTAAATGTCTCTTACGTCTTTTTTTATCAATAATAGAGTTCAACTTTGTTGTTTCCTTTTAATAACTTCTACGGTCTTTACTCTCTTCATTGAATCGTTTGATCCAACTTAAAATAGCTTTATACTTTAGAGTATTTCCTCCCCAACTTCTTCTGGATTCTCCGAGAGTTTTTCTAAAGTTTCACCAACAACCTTATTAGCACAATTTGTATATTTAATAAACAAATCATATATGACATTGATGATCACAATACTAAACATGATAAATTGAATTGTAGTTAGATAAGTATCAACTAGTGAATTATATTTCAGTAATCGAAAATGCTCTGGATGAAGAGCTTAAGTAAATCCCCTATATCAATAGCTTTATAAGTCTTTGACATTTGATGCTGATCGCATTAGTTTTAATGAACTTAACTAACTGAAGGTGCTCGATCATGCATCCGCATCAGATCACGAGTGGGTACTCTATCCTCGACCTCTCCTACAACCATTAACCAGCTTAGATCAGTCACTTCTCGATATATCGATAGACTATCAAATATATCTTCGAATCTCTTCGTTTCTGATTTCACTGGGTTAGTAGTACGTTTTGACTATAAAAGATGTGTTACTAGTTAAAGTGCTTTCGAATTCCAATCACTTGTAGAGCATCTTTATCCTACTTATCTCCTTGATTTTTCTCCTCCTTTTGTTTTTTTTCTCTAAAGGTGACTTCAATTCTTGAAACATATCCTAATTGGGCAGATTATCGAGATCAAGGTCATTCTTTATTTATTGCTAATGTACCACAATCAATGACAACATATTTAACAGCTGGTCCAGCATCAGGTAGTTTACATAGTGGATATTTAACAACATCACATGAAATAACTCCGTCATCTTTATCAAAACCTTATTGATGAAATAAAATGATCCATTTCATCATTTATTCATTCAATTACATACTTGTACTCAGGATAATTCATCTTCATTGTAATTAAGTGAAGACAATCTTTTTCTCTCTTTTTGTTTTCTTCTTTTGGAATCATTTATTACTATTCCTACATTACATAAACATGAATACACATCCACACACACACACAGAATCTACTGTCGTGTATACATGTTTTTACAGTTTGCTCTTCAAATGTCTTTACATTAAGTGTGATGGTATTCACGCTGATGTTGATACTGATGAGGATGAGGAGGAGGATGACGACGATGATGATGATGTTAGTACACTTGTAATTACTGATGATATATGATTAGATAGATATGCATGATTTCAATCATTATGTAACACTAGAAATTCAATCCCACCACCACCACCATTATTATTATTACTAATTTGTATTGTTTTAATATTTAAGTTGCTAAATATTTTTCTTATGAATTATGATTATGATTATTATCATCACTCAATGTACAGAATAAAGTAAAGTAGATAAAAGGAAACAAAATTGCAATTGTGTACGTGTGTGTGTGTGTGGGAGGGGTGTTGTTATTGTTTTGATATTTTCTAAATTGTAAAACAAAATGTACTTTTAAATCATTTCAATATTCTTTATAATAATAAAACGATTGTATTTATTATATGTAATAATAATAATAATAATAATAATAATAATAATAATAATAACGTTATAATTCTCTCTTACGATTGTAATCCAGCTATTCCTATTGCTTAGTATTCTCGGACACTGATTCACTCGACAAGTTCCCCCAAATTAGAACACGGTTGAATAGGAAAAGAGATTATATTTCAAATAACAAGGTTAGATGGAAGTAAGAAGCACAATAGGGAAAACGTCAGTATATTTATAGTTTTTCACATGAGAAGATTTCTAGAGAGCTTCACTAAGTATTGGCTAACGCTGATTGGATAAGAATTAGCCAATCAGCGTGCAACAAAGTAATCGTGCATTGAGCATGCTCTAATCCAGTCTATGTCCCCTTAACAAATAATATAAATATGAATACGTTTAAAGAGTGTTTGCTTCTTTGTTATTTATTACTGTCTTTAGATTAGTCCTTTTTGTAGGCTAATGAAAGTGGATGTTAACTATTGAAATGGATTATGTAAAGATTCAAGTAGACGATTTTGACTGGACGAGTATTAATTTATTTTAATAGTTAAGAATTACTTATTTATGCATGTTACTTCTCGTGAAGGAACATAAGCCGCTCACCAGCATTCTCCATCCAACCCTGTCCTGCGCAATCCTTTCCATCTTTCATCTTTTTCATATCTGCTTCTATTTCCCAACGTACTGTGTTCTTTGGCCTTCCTCTTTTCCGTCTTCCTTCAGGATTCCAAGTTACGGCTTGCCTCGTGATGCATTTTGGTGATTTCCTTAATGTATGTTCTATCTAATTCCATCGTCTGTTCCTGATTTCCTCTTCAGATGGAAGCTGGTTTGTTCTCTCCCACAGTAGGTTGTTACTGACGGTATCCGACCAAAAGATGTTGAGTATCTTGCGTAGACAACTATTTTCAAATACTTATACATTCATGATGATTATTGTAGTAGTTCTCCACATTTCAGCTCCGTACAGTAGAAGTGTCTTGACGTTCGTACTGAAGATTCTGACTTTGATATTGATTGATAGTTGTTTTCAGTTCTATATGTTTAACTATAGGAATCCTTTCCTCGTTTTGTCAATCCTCACATTTACATCTGCATCAGATCCTTCACGTTAATCGATGATGTTACCCAGGTACGTGAAGGATTCCACATCTTCCAGAGTTTTTCCATCAAGTATGATGGCGACTACATAGTATTAATCCACCTTTTCACTCGGTATTTCAGCCGATGAACTCAGTTCATGATAAATGACATTGAGTAATCGCATGGTACTACCGATACATATATGTATTTCATTCGACTTCGTATATCTATTGTGGACTAATCAAGTTAATACAACGTGGAGGTAAAAGCTCGAGTATATGAGTATGATGGATTAAGTTGACCAGGCTAAATTCACAATAAAAATAGTAAAGATTTATAAATTTGATCCACCACAGTGCAGTTAGAATCAAAGAATACGTAAACGTACTTCGTAAATGCATATAGTTAGCCGATAATCTTTAGTGTTTTCTTTTAGTACATAAATGTGGTCGAGTTACATTTATTTTTACAGCCATCAAAGTAGCTATAATATCTGATTATCACGATATGGTGATTCAGATTCTGCATTAAGCTCAAAGTTTGACTTAAATTTATGCTCTGATGTAGCACCATTCCTCTTCATCTGTCATGGACTTCCTCACCCACATTGGTGATGTATAGTCAGTTAAAAAAATATGCGCTCATGATATGTTATATAAATGTAAGTATATCCTTATCAGGATACGAAATTGAAATTTTTGAAACTACAGCATTCATAGAACATAAATCGTATGAGTTTATATCAGGTTCTTCTCACTAGTTGTCATACTGAGTTTTATTCAATTAATTTTTTGTCAAACGTAATCAAAAAATTTTACTGAAAGATCAGTATTAATATGTGTGAAAGACTGTACAAAATACAGCAGACTTTCGCTGTCCACAAATACTTGAAGTGCATTTTACAAACTGGAAGTTTAATGGTTTGCATTTCTCAAACTTTTGTTATATCCTTACTCAACAAAAGTGCCATTTTCTATTCGAAGTATCTGTCCTAAGCCTAACATCCGGTAGGTTACTTTTTTGAATTTGTTGTATGTATGTATGCACGTTGTCTTCCTTTCACAGCTATAAACGTTTTCTTGGATCTGTTTAACAACTCTACTATTATTACTCTAAATTCTTTTTAATTATAGAAAGTATGATGCTAACATTATTGAAAATTGTGTATTATTGCATTTTTTGAAGAAACCCGAAATGGTTTCTTCACAACACTTATGTACCCATAAGATGTTTGTGAATAATAATAATAATATAAATGTTGATGATTACCCTGCCATCCTTGCTTAAAGGGGATTTTCTTCTTCATGGATCCGGAGTATAGCAGAAGCTCCCCTGACACTAGTCGCTGTTGTCCAATTGCATCCAATTGTTTCACTGATCCCAAGCACCTCTAGGCTGTATCTTCTCATTTCTGCAGCAATTTGGAAGACTCCCCAGTCCTCCCACATTGTACGAACATTCTATGTACCTAAATACTGCATTGTTCTTTTGTTTTTATAGATTTGATTTATGTGTCGAATACATGTTCCGAAAATTCCTTGGACTCTGTACGGAAGGTTTCCCAATTTTGTACAACTTCTCCTTGCTCCCATCGGTTCTTCACGATATATGATTTAATGAAAACTTTTTCGCCAACATTAAAAATCCGGATATTTGGAATGTGATTGCCTTCATCCATTAATTTGGATGACAAGTTGACGTTGAAGACAGTTCGAATACGCCTTTCGAACATGGCTTCAGCAGGAGACTTGCTGTCTGGAACATTTGGGTTCGGGTTGGGTCTGTACGATATTAAAATTTTGTGATTGCCTGTCCAGTCGACGGTTCGCCTCCCCCTTCCAGTAATGCTCGTTTAAAAGTGTCCACAAAGCATTCTGCTTATCCATTTGAATGCGGATGACAGGGTGGAGAATGAACATGAATTATTCTGTTTATTCTACAGAAACGCTTAAACGAATCTGCGGAGAATTACGCGCCCTTAACGATTACCAAGGTCTCTGGTACACCGAAACAGTCATTCAGGATAAAAAACATGTGGACAGTTTCTGATGTTGTACAATTTGGCATGTTATACATATATCTAAATCTATATATCTAATAAATATGTATATACATGGTATTAATCGACAAGATATAAAGGGATACTACCCCTAACCCTCGGTCTGAAAAGTCGGACAAATGAAATTCTCGCAAATGCGATGAAAATGATCTTGGTGGTGTTGTGGTAGTATCCAGACAGCAGACAATGGGTTTTAAGCTTTGTTCAATCCCTGACGCTTCAGAGTGGACTACTTCGTTTACTACCCTACATGTGTGTGGTATACTGTATAAGCTAAATTGCTTTGTACAGCTGAACGTCTCATATCACACTGCAGGTTCACCATTGATACTGAGAATGCTCCAGCATGAATACTTTGGCAAGTTTGCTCACTGCTCATACGTAAAGTTGGTTTGCTGGTTAACCGATTCCATTGATACATCTTGCATTTGACTGATACATCTGACAATGTGTTGTAAGTTGTCAAACAGATATTTGCAAGAGAAATCCCACACAAAGTGAATGAGCGAAATCGGTTGAGCTGTTCAAAAGTTATGGTGAAAAGTGTGTTGACGAAATTGGCTATCTCGGGCATTTCTGTATGATTTTGACGCGCGGACTTTCTATAGGATGTTTCCGGGTCACATTTTCTTTCATAACTTTTGAACGGATTGATATTTTTCAATGGGGCGTGCTTTCTCTTACTTATCTAATTGAGTGGTTTATTCAGTGATGTATAATGTGTACACCTACATGGAGATTTGTACTTGAAGATGTAAAGTGCAGATAATATTATGCAAAATTTTTTTTTCTGATTATTTCGTTGACTTTCGATATATAATACGAAACTAAAATGAATAATCGACTGGGTACATTAAGTAATATCTCTTGGTAATTAGATCACTAGATATTAGTTCACCTGATAGACAGACAAAATTTCGACTAATTATTAAGAACTAGATAATATGAATAGACATTGACGTTTATGAGCGTAAATGCAAAGTATAGTATAATGAAATCACTAGTTGAAAGGAATTTACAATGCTACGTAATTTATTCATTTGAACACATAAATATTGGTACAAGAGGGCACCAAATATATATGCGCCACACAAAACAATGAGAATTTATAGAGAAAAAAAACACAATAACGAACAGATTAGTGTAAGTTAGTGTAATAATTAATAATAGTAGTAATAGTAATAATGGGGGA